TTGTTGCTTCTGCACTACTTGGCAGCTCTGCTGCCCTGGAGCTCACAGAAACTCGGAAATATGGCCTTGGCGCCAGCATCCCTGAGTTCATTTCGAACTTAGGAAAAGAACTGGGATGCCCGGATCCGAGCATGTCAATGACGAACTTCATTGACAGATGTTTGATCAAGGCAGAGACGGCTGGGAAGAGTGTCTTCATCAAGTTCCTTGCACCCTGGTGAGGTGTGGTGTCTCTGTCTCTGGACCGTTTTGTTCGATTCAGTTCCAGGCCACTGCAAGAAGCTGAAACCTGATTGGGACAAGCTGATGGACGAGTTCAATGGTAGTCCTGGATCGCTCGTGGCTGATGTAGATTGCACAGCTGAGGGGCAATCTCTTTGTGAGAAACATGAAGCTGCTCGATGCAAGAAGCATTTGGAAGGTGTTGCAGCGTTGCATCAGCGTTGCATAACAAAGCGCCTTCTAGATGGACTGACCACTTGGCTAGTTTGCAATCTTTCCAGGTTAAGGGATATCCCACAATCAAGCCACTTGGCGAGGTTGCTTTGTACACTTTGCTCGTGACCATTCGTGACCCAACCTTGCTGGATGGTGCTTTCATGTGCTTTCTCAGGTACGGAGATCCCGGTGATTTAAAGGAGCCGCATTTTCTCGTGTGATTTCCCGGTTGGCCATTCCAGCATTTTGCGGCAAAGGACTACTCAGGTGGCCGGGATTTCAATGCCTTGAAAAAGTTTGCAGAAGAGAATTTGGGCCCGTCGCTTGGCGGCTTTAGATGCAGGGATGCATCTACCAGCATACAGCAGTTTCGGGCAAGTCTCTAAGTCTCAGTGTTTTCTATGTTTTCCTGTGCACAAGATTGCACCCAGGACATGTGGCCCTGCAAACTTAGAGCTTTGTAGTGAAGAAGTGAAGAAGAAGATCGAAGGTTACATGGTGACTTGGATTTGAGACAAAAGCGACATGGCAGACATGGCAGACATGGGCAGTGTGGCAGTACGCCGTGGGCATTGAAGGCGATGTCTGGAGATAGGCTAGAAGGCAAAATCCGCAACGCCATCAGAATTGTGGAAGAGGAGGCACACTGCAAATACACAATGCATGTGTCGTGTGTGTGGTTTTTGTTGTTCCGCTGTGAGTCCATGTCGCCCTTGCAATCACAATTGACACAGGTGCCCATCATGAAGAAGGTCTCCGCTCACATGAAGAAGACCAAAAGTGATTTGTAAGGCGTTGTCACACGCCTCTCAAGGCATATTCCAGGGTAGGACTGACCTTTTTGCTCCACATGGAGCAGAAGGTCCAAATTCAGTGCTAACGGTTCCAAAACAAATGGCACTGCCTTCAACGAATGACGCTTTGCTGAGCTCTTAGCGGCAGCAGATAGCTGAATGTTTGAAAGTAGAGCCTGAAGCGTTTGGAGAAAGACCAATCGCTGAAAAGCGAGTGAAGCGAGAAAAGGGGCGAGCGGGGAGGTCTTTCAAAGTGTTTTTCTGGAATCCGCATCTTCCAAAAGCTGCAAAGCTGCTCAACAGCTCTGCATTTGCTCAGCCATTTGGCCCCACAGCAGTTTTGATCCTCGCACCTCAAAAAGGATGGGCCGCTTTCGATTCATTCGATGCCTTCAGGGGGTTTGCAAGAAGATCAAAATCATTTTGGGTTGTTGGGCACTCGTGACATAAACGATGCCGTCAGGATGATCCGTGCCTTTGTTGCTTCTGCACTACTTGGCAGCTCTGCTGCCCTGGAGCTCACA